TTACCAAAGTTCAATACACGAAATCTTACTGGATGAAATTCATAAAGTGCAAACAAGATAAGGAGAATAATATTTTTGTTTCCCGCTGAGCATGTTGTGAACTATCAAGCTGCGCTTCAATGATAGCTTGGAACAGCATTGAATAATGACCTTGGACAGCTCATGCTTAGATCAGTAGTTTCTGTTTCGATTATGTGACATTATTTTTGGCCCGCTCAAGCAAGAACCTATCCTGAACTGAACATCAGCTCAATCCAGTTTACCCAGGTAAGGCTAGAATTTTCCCAACTGTTTTCGGATTAATACGTACAAGAGAGGTCTGTTTGCCAAAGCCTACTCCACAGGTCTGTAATCTTGAAGACAAATCAGCACATTGTCACGATATTAGTTTTAATTCAAGGGGGAAGCTAAACAAACCAAACGCTTTGAACTGTTCCGGTTACTGTTGAAAGTCTAAATTCGTGTGTAGTTGTGTAGGGCAGTAGTCAGTGCTCATAGTGTGTCTGTAACATAATGTTCAATCGAGATGCACTCATGCGTGAACATGGATGGAAAATAAGCTATTCGTTCTGCGAATGCTTGCGTGTTATCTCAGAGAAAGCAAAGACTGACTGAAGATCCCAAAGTACAACAGATTTGCTTTGAACCGCCCTCCAAACAGCTTCCGGACACTATAGAAGAGACAAAGTGAGCAGATATTCGTTATCAGTCAAGGTATACTGCATACAGAGTACACCTCAGAATGTATATTAATAATGGCAATTGGACAGAGTGGAGTCCAATTAACAAAATCGGACGAACGCGAAGCGGGAGTCCGATTTGTCAATCACGAGGATGAATGTCCGATCATTTGTCAATCACGAGAATGGATGTCGGATCATTTTATTTTGTCGTTCCCAAGCTTTTCTTATGTACGTAGAAAACCTCGACATGGATAACTCGGTAAAATGGGTTCCCCTCAACATAGTTAGCGGTCAGATAACAAGCGATGCATTGTGGAAGAACAGTAAGGTGAGATATTTTTATTGAGAATTTGATTACATTTTTATTCCTCAGACCGGTCGTAAACTTACAATTATAAGTTACAATATTAAAAACTTATAATTTCGCTATGACTATTATATCGCGAGATGATCATCTCACAGCTGGAGCTCGGGCCGACTGTGATATAATATGATAATTGATCTCCTACGTCAGCTGTGAAGCGGTCGATGTCAACTTGATTCAGGTCATCACGGGAAATGTTTTATGTATACTACGATTCCTAAAATTAGGTAGAATTTCGAGAAGCATCGGTGACGAGGGTTAAATCAACCTTCTAAAATCCCTTTATGTCGTCACCCGCAAAAAACAGGAAAACAACGACAAGGATACAATTTTTCATCTCACTTTTAAGAAAATGGGTGTCACGGATCGAAGGTTACGAATTGTATCTGTGTAAATTTTCTGGTGATCACTCGCTTGTCAGATAACACAAGACAAACGCATAGAAAGCGCGAGGCGCCTCCATCTCCTCGCGCGAGTCTCACGGGCTTGTTTTAAATTTATCATTTCTTTGGAATAGAAGACAGTTCTGAAGTGAACTCATCTCCAACATGTCTCCTTCAAATTTCTAGAGGAAAGAGTAAGAGTATTTCAAATGTCTTGTTGGTTCCAACAGCATTTCGGTGCTAACCCCATACAAACTCTTATAATTCCGCCATGACTGTTAATGCACAAGGTGGTCATCTCACAGCTGGAGTTTGGGTCGCCTGTGAGTGAATGTATATTATTTTGCTAGTCGCGAAATTCTGTTTTCTGTAAACTCGCCGCACGCGCATCATATACTCGCAAACTCTAAGATAATGGCGCTTTACAAGAACATAAGACCACCTTGAATCTGTTCTCCGGTTTTCACCACACACGCTTGTTGAACTACTTTTCAGTCGAGCTGCTTAATTTGTTTCAGAAATTTATAAAATGGCGACCAAAGTTATTTGAATTTTCTAGATGCCGTATGAGGAAGAATGACTCTGGCCGAGATGATTACGTATTACTTTCGTTTTTAGCAACGCACATTACAACCAAGAGGAGAACTTGGTAGCATCATCGCAAAAGCGTACGCACACACAGACAAAACAAATCCACATCCCCTTCGAAACCTAATCATTTTATCTTGCAGCTATACCAAAATACTATCTTGACGTAGAAAAAGTGAACTTTAAAATGTACATATGATCTTTTTCTGTGAGCCATTCATGACGTATCTTCAAAGTTTTCTTACTCGCAGCGGTTGACTGGTTTACGGCGTGGCAACGCGAAGAGCGTTACGTCATGAGGAAGACGATATTTTGATCTTTATCTAGCCATAAGGGCATACTTAAAACCTCGTAAACAATATTTTGGGGTTGTGAATATATGGAAGTCATATATTTGAATTGAACTGCGGTTAAAGACGTGAATATGAAAGCGATCTTCGCAGTAATGAACACTGCTTAAGTAGTAGTGAAAAGAAGGCCTGAATTTTTTCCATCTATTCACAACCGTTTATTCAGCACTTCACGGGTTTATTTGGAACCAACACAGTAACCAGCACCCGGTTGGCTTGTTAGCTCAGTTGGTAGAGTACTTCACCGGTATTGCAAAGGTCATGGGTTTAAATCCCGTACAGGCCTGAGTTTTTTTCAGGCTTTCTTTTCACTACTACTTAAGTGGTGTTCATTACTGCTAAGATCGCTTTCATAATCAAACAATATTTTCTCTGTATATATGATAAATAGCAGGTTCCCACGGTTGTAGGCCATGATGGATTACAGGAGCAAGTGACGATTTCGGAGAAAAAGGACAAAACTGCAATGCTGTTTAACGAATACTTTCCTGGGCAAAACACTACTGTGACACTAATGAAGATCACCAAAATTTGCTCTCTTTATTGTGCTTTTTTTTTTTTCGATTTTTTCTCCTCTCTAAAACCTATTTCTCCTCAACAATATTTTAAAACCCTCGACAATAATAGGGTTCAGCGCATCTTTGACGGTGGGCTCGCTGCGGGTCTAAATACAGCTTAGACAGTCTAATCTCCTGTCATGCGTGTGTCCAGATCCCATACAGTTTCCTCTCTCAGGAAATTAGATAAGAGAACTTCCCATAAGAGAGAGAGGAAGACTCTAACTTTCGTGTCTTATTCTTAGAAAATCTTTGAAGTCAAACACAAATTGTCATGCCCAATATAGAACATAAAAATAGGTCGGTTATACGAAAGTTAAGAATCGAAGAATTTATTCAAATGTTCAGCTCGAATGACAAATTAAGTTGCTTCTCTGTCTCAGTTCATTTGAAGTTGAAACGACAGTTCTATTATCCTTTGTCGTGGTTCCTTTGAAAACCATCCCCCTCTTTAAGACCACACAGTCGAGAGCTCCTCGAGGTCCAGCAGAGAGCTCGTCGAGGTCCAGCAGTAAGGGTTTTTACGTCACGAGGCTAAAGATGTCCAACTACCTTTTTTTTATGTGCGCCACGGAGAGACTCTAAAGCATATAGATGAAAAATATATGTAAATCTAAAACCAAAAAATTAAAAAATGTATATTTCCCTTTTAATTTTCTATTTGCCGTTTTATTTTCCCATTCTCGATTCCCTATTGGTGCTGTTAGTGACATTCTGATTGTTTCGCAAAATAAACAAAAATTTTGCCTTTTGCGCCCGCGCCCTAATTTCACTAGTTGTGCGGTATTTTGACGAGGCGAAGGGAGAGTGACAAAACAGACGATGAAAAATACTCGGCGATGCCACACACCAAAACGACTGATAAGGTATTTATTATCGAACCACAGGCAGCCCAAGCTCCTGCTGTGAGATGATCATTTCGCGAAATAAGAGTCATGGCGAAGTTATAGGAGTTTGTATGGGAATATTTACGACCGCTCTTAGGAATAAAAAATCCAATCAAATTTTCAATGAAAATACCTCACTTTACTTTCACAGTGCATTGCTTGTTATCTGACCGCTTGCTTTGTTGAAAAGAACCCATTTTTGCGAGTTATTTATCTCTAGTTTTACTTGATAAGTGCTTCTCTCCATTACTAAAATTAATTATGTAACGTTCAATGTATGATTCACACATACATTTATGGATCATTTTCCCAACAGATTGTGTCAGCGTTACAGAATTTGTATTATAAGTGACCTCTTTATTTGGCAGCTATACATCTCTTGTTTTAGATATTAGTGCCACAAGCTCTAGCGTCGGTGATTCCGTTCTCAAATTGAAATTGGGTGATTAAACACGGGTTTATGACTAAAAATAGCCAATATAACTCCAGAGGCCAAAAATATATTTATCCACCAACGTAGTGTTAGGATAGATCTTTTCTGTGATAGTACGTTTGTCGACATACAATGTTGTCGATTGGACATATTTGTGATTAAAAAACCCAATTTGTTTGTTTTTGGAATAGTTGCGTGACACAGTTAATGATCAACTGCTATAAATTGGCAGAAGTTATATCAAATTACCCCAACTTTAGGAAACTGTTTCTTTAAGGTTCAAACAACTATTGGACATAATAAGATTACAATCCATCGCATTCTGTCAGTGTGAGAGAGATTCGTTGATATTTCGAGCTAAGTTTACCTTTTAACCCAGGAATTTGATGTGGGGACTTTTAACACCCGTGGGATTAGCCAGAAGCCCGAACAACTTAGTGAACATTGTAAACTGTGAAAGTTTGAAATCGGTGAGATGACATATGTCACGCCTGCCCGGTCCTCTCGTAGACAGCCTGACTCTTAACATGTTCATAATATCACATGGACATATTAGGTAGTCAATAAAGACGAAATGCCAACCTGCTGCAGGACCGCGGTGTGAACGCAAGTAACGCACGCGAGAGAGCTGACTAAACCATTGGCGTACAGAATTACTCAGATTTGTTACCAAAAATTTGTTCACACTTAATATGGATGAATTTTGGTTTTAAGATTTACCTTGTTTTCAGGAGTAATACATTTGACATGGAAAGATGGACGCAACAGACCCCAAGATCCCGAAAAACGCTGTTTCAGATTCCCATCTTGAGGATGAATTGGAATGTGGTGATAATCAGTTGGCCAGACGCAGTACATTTGAACAATTTCAAGAAACGGTGGATCAGTTCCAGCAATGCAAAGTGGAAGCGGCCACAGAGTCTTTACAAGCTGGGCATAAGCACTTCCTGAATCTAAGCCCAGATAGCTTCGGAAACCCGACTGATTACGAGAAGGAGCAGGTGGATCGAGGTAGAGAGATGTGTTTGAGTTATTGCTCCGCTCCTCATTTCTTTGGTGCTGTTTTGTTAAACCCCAAGCTGATCGCAGATAAGGATGAGCATTTTTATGTCAGCTTTACTATTGTTTTTGCTGCTGTTGCACTCAAGCTGCATGAATATAAAATAGCTATAGACTTATTTCAGCGATGTGATTCTCTTTACACATTTGATGCCAAGCCATGTCCTAAAGACACCGAGCAAGTTATCGATATTTTAAGAGCAGTGGCCAAGGCAAATGTAGGCTATGTTTATCTGATTATGGGAGTTATGGACAAGGCTAGTGATTATCTAGAATGCGCGCTGGAGATTTTTGAAACATTTAAAAACAAAAACAAAACTGACTCTCCAGAAATAAACATTGTTGCAATACAAACCAACTTAAGCTTAGCTTACCAGTGTCAGAAGAACTACATTGCTGCAGTGAAGTTGCAAGAGCGTCTTATTCTGAAGACCAAAGACCCCATTCTTCCCCCACATTTGGTAGCTGCCATATATTACAATAGAGCAGAGTTGTTCATAGAGCTCAAAGAACCTGTCAAAGCACTCATGGAGCTCAGGACGTTGGATTCACTATCTGAGAGGATGAACAACGAAGAAGCAATATTCTCGAAATTTATATCTTCAAAAATTTGTTTGGCGTATCTAAAGATTGGAGATATGGCTAGTGCAGAGAAAATAGCGGAGCGCTTGACTTTCCCTTCTCTTTCCCCTCAATCGCTATCACCACCACTCTCGCTTTCGTTAAAATCGTTTTCGACAGCATCAGGGTCAGGGTCAGAGTCGTCGTCATCATCGTCGTTGTCATCAGTTTCATCATCGTCGTCGTCATCAGTTTCATCATCGTCGTCGTCATCAGTTTCATCATCGTCGTCGTCATCAGTTTCATCATCGTCATCATCATCTCCGTCATCAACATCGTCATATTCATCGTCTGCTTCGTCACTAATGTCTTCATTTCCTTTTTTCTTTACCGATTTTGAAGCTGTCCCCGGATATAATGGAAAAATCCATTGGGACTTCTTGTTCGCAACGATATTGAATTTAGTTGATTTTCACTTGAACGAAAAAAACTTAGACTTTGCATCTTTCCTCGACGTTTTTGTACCAAGTTGCAAAGAAACGTTAGGGAAAAACCACCCAACATATGCATCGTTTCTTTATAGGCAAGGTGTTAGATTTTTTTCTGATGGAAAGGAACCTTTCATCAAAAAAAATTGCTTTGAAGAAGCATTAAATATTCTGACAAGTTTTGGCTACGGTTTAGATCACCCGGATTTGTTGCAATGTAACATCGCTCTTGCAAGGTTATTATTGTGCGAAGACTTTCAAGAGGTTCCTCCGTTGAAGTCGCGCCGTGACCGAAGCTGGCGAGAATTTCCTTGCGACGCAGCAGATGGAGTTGTAAGCCCTGATATTCCATCATTTAGAGAAGACAGTAACAAGTGGGACAGCAACGAAGAATTAGACGGACCAGGTAAAATTTCTGGTCGAGAAAACCATAGAGGCAAGAATTATGATCATCTTGAAAATGTGCCGCAAAAGGATAAGAACAAAGGAATCAGCATCTCACAGAAGATACAGCAAACACCAAATGAAGTCAGTGGTGTACGGAATGACACTCTTAAAGCCCCTTTTCAGGTAGGAAATGTGGTTGCAGACAGCGGTGAAAACCCCGATGTTCTTACTAGAAATGGGGCTTGCGGCTTTGACAAAGATTGGAATATCCAAGCTGTTGCCCTTCCAAAAACACCAGGAGATTCCCACGGGATTAATTCGAAAACAAAAACATATCTTGGTTTGAAAGGTGGACGCCGAAGCGATCTTCCGTCAGGGCACAGCTCACAAAGGGATCCAAGTGGGGATGACGTTGGCACAAATCACATCGGAATAGATCCCAGTTTCCTCGCACGTCATTCTTATGAGTGCAATGCATCTGATGAGCGCTGGGATTCTTGTGATCCATTTGAAGATTCAGAAGTGCTTGCAGGTTCCCACTCCGAGTATACCAGATCTAGGTGTATGACTGAAGTGTACCACCTTACTTCTCCAAGTTCAACGAAATTTCCTGAATGTCGTGATTTTACAAAAACTGTTCCAGCGAAGACCTTTGGACTACCTCAATCTTCAAGTTTCCTTGAAGATGGATGTAAAGCAAATCTCCCGTTTACAAATATCTCCCCAGATGGACATGTACTCGCCGAAAGGCCGACGTTCTCATCGCAATTTGAAAGAAAAGATGACGCTCCAGGATTTCTTCCGGACGGGGAAAGTGCAGGAGCTGGTCATGGTCTGTTAAACAGTAATTCAAACACATCTGCTGACGAATCATTGGCCGTACTCGAGCAACGTGTGGCTGAAGCTTGCTGTCTTGTCGAGAAAACGTTGAAAGAAAGACAAGAAAGAGAGAAATCGATGAAAGAAACGGAGCAAAAAAGAAAAGATAAGCGGGCAAGGAAACAACAACTTGCACGTGAAAGAAAAGAAAGGGAAGCGAGGGAAGCAAGAGAAACGGAACTCAGGAATGAAAGTGTAGAGGGGAACTCCACGAGCGGTGGACAAGAAACACCTTTGCAAGACTCGGCAAGTGCTGGGGTTCGACAATGGCTGTGTGAACATTATCAGCGGCTCTGCCGTGTCAAGTTCTCATGCTGCGGAAAGTTCTTTCCTTGTCATCGTTGTCATAACAACTCTGGGTGTCCAAATGATAATTCCAAAGCAAGAGAGGCGTGCTCTGTTGAGTGCTCTGTTTGTAGCCATCAACAAGAGGTAAATAGGAATGACATTGACTTGAAATTTTTTCATAAGAGGAAAGAGAGTTCTCCCACTTAGGTTATAACCGATTTAACTTCGAATGTTTGATTTTTAAGATCAACCAGGACGCCCACACCTGTGTCAGATGCAAAACAAGGTTCTCAGCATATTTCTGCTCGGTATGTAAACACTTCACAGGGGAGGATAAAGCTCCTTATCACTGCGAAAAATGTGGTATCTGCCGGTAGGTGAAACAAAATTCATGACGAGTTTTGTCTTCGTTTGTTTGAATGATATGCTTGCTGTCCAAAAGAATGAAGGTTAGGGAGTTATTGACCTGCTTCAGAGCTATTGACTTGGGTTGCAGTAGGTACGAAGAATCCTGGCACAATCTGTAAGGCGAGAGCAAAGTATTCAGGAGAGAGAAATGCTTTATCGAGGAGTACATAAAACACCCCATTGCTAGTTGTTTCTCAAAAAGGAATAAGAGTCCGACAAAATACAAGTTTCCTTCTCAATAATTATTGCAGCTTATCGAGTAAAAATACGGCGCTTATCAGTGTGAGTTCGAAATTTGTTTCCCCAGCGAATCATGTTGTGCTCGAGTAAATACCTGCAAAGTGATGTTTCTATTTCCTGTTCAGTATCTACAAGGACCGCTCCTTCCACTGTGATGTGTGTAACGTCTGTCTGGACAAACGGCTGGAAGGAAGACATTCTTGCCGAGCAAATTCAGGACACGACGAGTGTTGCATCTGTTTAGAGGTAGTTACTTAATTTACATAATAAGGCTGAATAAGAAATATCTTTTAAAAGGTTTTGCCGTTTAGCCGAAGCAGTTAACCTTGCACTAAGTTTGGTTTTATTTACTTGTCGCGTTAGTGACGTCAGGTGCTTGCATTTCTGGAGTCGAAATCTGATGAAAGAGAAGCAGATCACAATCCAAATTTCTATATTTTTATTTGGTTGATCAATTCTTTATTTCCAGGATGCTTTTAGCGGTTGTCAGATCCTGCCATGCTCACACAAGGTTCACCGCGAATGTGCTATTGCTATGATACAGAACGGCGTGTAAGTATGCTTAAATATCGCTATATCTGTTTTTGGGAATAAACTTAAATATGGAAGAACACTCCACTACTGCACTGACTATGTGTTGGTATTTAATTCTGGATTGGTGTGTGTGGACCTGCTCCAGCTATGAGAGTGCACTGAGCAGTTTTCATTTGCATTCATAATAAAAAAACCTCCGTACCCTCGTAAGGAGCTTTGGTCGCCAGTGGGCAGGAGTGATTTATTGACAAACAGCGATTGGTTTCGCAATGAAAATAACTTCAGAAAAGATTGGAAACTACGTGAAGAATCAACAGTACGGACGTCCGGAGAAACCGACCACCGTTCCCGCCTACAGCTGGGGATAAGTCTGGTGAAATCGACAAAATCTGGTTAACGCCCTCATTATCCTTCTTTGTCCCCTAAGCTTTTGTCAGGTCCTGAGATTATTTCAATTTTGGTTTCAAGACGCTCTATGCATGTTGTCACGGAGTTCTCTTGTATCTAAAGCGATATTACTTCATCGGTAAACTTTGAAAGACTTTGTACGTTAAGTAGGCCAGAATTTATTGCGACATTCCCACACCAGTTTTTCTCGAGTTCACCTGAATATTTCCTTTTAATTTGCAGTCGCAGCTGTCCTATTTGCCGCCATCCTTTGTACAGTCAGACAGGAATGAATGAGTGAATTACAACCTCGACTTCAGTGTTCAAAACTCCAAGAAAGGGCAAATTGTTCCCCATTGAGATGTTTTAGATAGTGTCCTGATTGACGTATTCATTCTTTATTGTAGCCGTGAATTTAATCTTTTATCCCTAACAATGAATGGCTCCTTATTTCTACTGGCGGTATCACTCTTGAATCAAATGATAAATGAAACGAGAATGAAGGCAATGATCACCAATTTAGGAAGCTCTTGATTGTCAAGCAAACTCTCATTGTCAGTATCAGAGGAAATGTAAAGAGAACAGAGTAGATTGTTAGGGTTGAAGATTGTAATAGTTATCTTAATCTTAACTGTACAAGGACGCAAACCTGAGGGGAGAGGGGAAATGAGGGTGGCAGGATCCCCTTAGGTAAAATTGATTTCTATGCAGTGGCCTTTATATCCAAATTTTACTGCTTTCATCTCTTAAAAGATTTGTGTAAAAGTGTGCAAGGCATCGATTAGTCCGGCGAGGAGGTGGCTAAGTGTATCATAATAGTGAAGCCATTGTAAAATAAAATGATCTTTCTTATCATTGTAACGAAACAACAGAGTAAATTGTCCAAAGCCTGTGCAGCAAATTAGATTTGAGAACGGGTTTTTTTTTCCGTAATCTAAAATGAAAATATGCTTCTAGAAATTTTTTAACCCTTACACTTAAAGCCAGACAAAACATTGCACATGGTGTGGTTATGAAATTCCTGGTAGTGTTTTACGGTTATTAGAATGCTGTGTAAAATAAAGCTCCTCTATAACCTTTTTTTTGTCATATATAGTTACACCAGGATAGGAAGGAATTGTAAGAGTTTCAATTTCATCTTCTTTGCCTTCGGGAGACGTGTGATAAAAATGAAGGGAAGAAAAAGCGAGTTTGCTCTTTAAATTTCGGTAGTAATCTATTAAGTTAGTAACAAGTAATTGATGCATTTCTCGAGACTAAATTCACTTACTAAGCTTATTTTATTATGAACTGGTGACCTTCATAAATAGAAGGTATTTATTTTTCTTAGGTTTTACATTTTCCATTGTTATGTAGGTAGTTTGTTATTTCATTCTGATGTAACCTTGGGCTTTCAAACTTCAAGTAGCTATGCAAATCACCGCTACGCGAACATTATATGGTTTCGCAAAGAAGTTAAGTCACAAGTCGTATTATACATGATTTTTTCCCTGTCTCATCAAGTTTTAGTAAATTAAACATTTCCTGTCTGTTTGAACATTTGACAGACACTAACGAAGTACCTATTGATTGTGAGAAACCGTTTTTACTCGCACCTTTCAAGTGTATTACCAGTGAAATATTTATTTAACTTTAATCTTAGGATCCCTTCTTAACCTGAGGGTCTAATGTCACCAACATGGAAGGGCACGCCTCTTCTTCTGCTTCTAGTTCTCCTAAGATATAAAATTTTGGCGGTGGTGCATATTCTGGGGTGACCTTCATTACTACGATTATCAATTGAGGGAGACACGAAAGAAGTCTGGTGATGGGAATTTGACCATAAAATAATGCTGTTGTCACGGGCAACCTTCCTCGTTTCGTCAGGTATCGAATGTCAAGAACTGTGGGTCACCAAAGGTAAAATGTAAAAGCCTCGTGCCAATGGAAACGGACCCAGTTTTCCGTGACAACAACACTATTTTAACGTTAAAGGTCTCTAAACTTCCGTCGTGCCGAAATTTCAAATACTGCGCTTCTCGGAAATAGGCCGTTATTCAAGGGAATACGGTATATGACATGATGCACTGTGTCTATGGATCTTTGGTACCACTGTATTCTGTTCCTCGAAGCTCACAGTTTTCCTCGAGCTTTGTTTTTGAAAACTGTTTGCATCTCGGAGTAGATTATGTCCGCGAACAAATATCATATTTTGGCGCCAAAGGTACTCGATTAGTCTGTTACATTTCTTCGCCGATCTAGCTCTATCTACTTCCATAGGCTTACATCAAACCACCTTGGATATTGCTGGCTCAAGGAACGATTTACTGTACCCTTTTTTTTAAAGGGATTCAGCTCGTGAAACAGTGCCAGGCTCTCAAGAACCTCTTGCTCATTTTTAAAAACTCGTTACTGGTTCAGAATTCCATATTATGGCGCTTAAGACTCAAGCTTGCATACCCTGGCTACAGACTAAACTCGGACCTAGTCGCTGTTTTCTCATGGCGCACGAGGAGAATGTGAGGTGTGATTGGAAGAGAATAAGTCAAATGTGTTATGGTCATATTTGGGTAATTTATCATCATTCCCACAACTCTCCGCGCCCTCCGCTTGCTTTTGTGGCCATAGTATTTACATCAAAATACGAAACCACTTCCTCCATATTTCTGAGAATTAAACAGGAACCGCATAAATTATGGATGGCGTCCAACAGCTATGTCTTGGGCGACGGCTTGCTTTATGTCTTAAACGATTATACGTGCATACATAACACACTACCTTGGTTAAGACAAGATTCCTGAGTCACAAAAGGAAAAAACATTGTGATAGTTACCTTAATACTGACAATGCGAGCTACTAAACATTACGTCACTTCCTTTAAATTTCTGGGAAGTGTAGTGGCTTCGAAGAAAACGACAAATTGTGTCTGGATGATTGTGAAGAAGCTCCCATGCACTGAATCTGAGCGGGTAAATCGTGAAGATTAAGGTATCTGTCACAAAATTATTTCCTACATGGTTCAGGAATTCATTTTAGAAAATCTTAGTTAACCAAAATCACTGTCTTAGACATTCTGTTACCTATGCATTTCTTTTAAAAATTGTTTTTGTAAAAAGGGTGACAGTTGTTTAAAAGGATTAGAGCTTTCCCTTGATCAAAGAGTCGTGAAAAATGTATGATGATTAGTTTCAGACGGATCTTTGAACCAAATTTGTATCGATGATGTATCATTTGTGCCACTCACTTAAGATCCACTTATTTTTGGGCTGCTTCACTCGATGGGAATAGTAGATGTCGCCATAATCCATCCATTCTAACGTTTGCGTGTATGTTTTGCACAAAATGAAAGCGAATTCGAGAAGGATCCAGAGAGAAGTGCATATCCTTTAGAAAGTATGTGGTTCATTCCTTTCTATGCGTCAAACATCTCCTGCCCTCGAGTGTTCAGCTTCACAAAGGCGAGTTCTATGGCAGTACTGCTTTATACAAGTGGCGATAAAAAACTCGAACCTAAGATACTTTTGGGAGTTATCTTGGTTTAAGCACCTGCCAATTTTTTCTTCGCCTTGTGACAATTGTCATAAAAAGTCTTTTGCCATAACTGTTTCGTTCTCTCTGTTATTCGTCACTTTTGAACATAATGTTAACAGGCTTGAACAGAAAATGAGCCCAAACATGAGTTATTTTAAGCTTAAACTTTCTAATTTAGAGTTAAATGAATTTCTATTTCAAAATTGTCTACTATATTTCACTTCCTGCCAGCTGAGGTTACAAAAATTATTGCCCCCCCCTACAATACTTATTTCTGCATGAGTATTGTTGCGTCTCTCATATGTCGGGGGGGCTGGGTATTGAGCACACCACACACGATGAAAGACAGCAAGACTCTTGAATATTTTTCGCTTTTTTCTTTAATTATTTGGTTTTCCAGTGCGTAATTCTACTAAAATCCAAGCTTATTTCACTCTGTGTAACTCTGGTTTATCCCTTAGGCTCTCACAATTTGATTTTCACTGAACACTTTTCCTTTAACAGCAGAAATTTGACTCCACTCCAGTGCACTCTGTCTACATTCTTCTGGTTTGCTCTTCTTTCTCTTCATTCCACTCTCCTAAGTTAGCTCTAAAGAACATGTTGATACATTTACTATTGACAGATATGGGTGGGCATGCCAGCTGGCTGACCTTGGGAGATTAAACATTTGTTGTTAACACACTAAACCAAACATTTTCACGAGACTTGCGAAATGAACAGCAAAGTACTTTATCATAATCCTAGCGATCAACTTAATCAACCTCTGACTGCGTTAGCCAAAACAAGAATTTTCGTGTGAGTCCAAAGCAAATGTAGCAGACAAACTAAGCAGGTCCACCATAGGAAGTCAGAAAAGGCTGTCACGATTCGGAATCTCGTCACCACAGCTCAAAACTTAGATAGACCAAATAACTTCAAAAGTCGAATTCATACATTACTAGTACATTCGAAATATAAACGAAAGGTTAAATCCTACTGAACTGACTAACTAAATGACTAACTATAATTATAAACTAACCAGATACTTCATAACAATATAATGCTTAACTTAGAATACATTCCCTGACATGTAGCCACTCTGACAAGGCAGAAAAATACCATAGCATCGTCAACCATGACACT